GGACTAAAATTTTCAACTTTTTAGTAAGCTGAACTGATAATGTTTTTGCAATTGCAACTGAGCTTGAAAGATCCCTACGTTCCCAATATCTGCGTTTTCAAATCGACTTTCGATTTCATCAAACCCTTAGAGTAAGGACAATGCCTCGAGGCAGAGCTCATAGCTTGTTTTTTTTTCATCTGTTGTCGATTTCTCACGAGAAAGTGTTATTTGCGTGGCTTCACACTAATCGCTATTTCCTTTCCCAGTTCTTTTAAAAGTAAGAATCAGAATTTCACTGCAATTTTGAAATCAGAGAAAATAATGGGACAGAGAATCAGGGCAAATCCCAGAATATGTTGATTTCATGTAACTCATCCTTAGGTCCCTTAGCTTGGGACGGAGAGAATTGTGGTTTCCTAAAGTAGTTTCTTATTGCCGAATTCTGTTTCATATTAAAAGAAACTAACTGCCCTGTTCTCCAACACCTCAATACCACTCACATACGACCTAAGCTCACTCAGACTGAGTACGGACGCGTTTCACTTTCCGTGAGCGAAAGGACATATGCGAAACGAAAAGCGATCGTGCATGACTGTACAGTAAACAATTACCGAACAAGCCCCTGATTTAGTGACTCTCGCCTCGTAGCAGATGGAGGTGTTGTGTTACGAAGGGTTAATTTTATGAAGGTTTGTTCGAGGAAAAACACACTTATGGAATGAAACCGTCATGAATTTCTAAACCTATTTTTTCATTAGTTTTTCTTACATGTCAACACATGCATAGGATGGTTCGTCTATGACAATATCATCCTATTATTTTCTCTGGATGAAACGCCTATCAGAATTCAACGTTTGTACATGCGTTTGTGCATGCGCATGTGCATGCACAAACATAGGACTGTCTTGTTGTATCTCGCAGGCAAAACNTTTGAAAAGCAGTACGATGATTGCTGACTGAGTCTATTCGTCATCAGTGCTTTCCAAGGATAGAGATGTATTCCTAGAAAGAAACAATGCCTACAATAATAAATAGCAAACGTTGCTATTTTCGATTTCGAGAAATCACTCAACTGGAAATGAACTCGACAATACCTAAAGCAGCTTTCTCGAACGTGCAAAATGCTGAGGTTTGGGAAATCTTTATAGCTATTTTAACGAATAGTTTGCAGGATAGAATTCGAGCAGGAGGACAAGCCCGCTATTTCGAAAAGTGTGGTTTTAAAATTTCCTCTTTACATTCCACATGCTTTCGGTTGCGCCTTACTGCTTTTTTAACTCGCATTTATTAATTTGCACAGTGGTTGCGGGTTCATTTATAAGCCAACTAGTGAGTGCTATAAAATGCACTGCGCTGCAATGTTTCCCAAGTTATTTTTTGTCGCATGTTTGGTTATTTACATGCTTCAAGAGAACGAGGTAAACTGTTATAAACCCATCACATCTTAACGAATTTGGGTAAGTTAAAAGATTCTGTTTCTACTAACTATGGTTTTATGATGTTCTAATTAACTATGGCATGTACCAACCATCCCCAGGGAAGCCAGCTTGTCTTTCTTGCGGCAAAAACCAAACAACAATTACCACTGGTACTGTGGGAGAAATGTACTGTATTGGTAGGTTAATATTCGTCACATTTTGAGTTCAAATGGCAGGCGATTGAAGCTATAACTTCTGGCCACAAAACGTTAGCAAATTGGCTGGCATGTACACTTCCTATTCCTTTGATGTTACGTACGTTTTGTCAAGAGAGGTTTAAGTCCTCTTTCGGTATTGTGTAGGATTGAATCCACCAAATGCAGAAAAACGAAAAAGACGATTGGCTTTAGTTTTAGATTTGATTGATTCAAAGGAAGTGCAGGTTTTCGAGACAATTCTCACTACTTTTGACAAAATTACTCCAAGAAAAGGGCCTGTGCGGCGGAAGAAACGTCGAGAAATTATAAGAGATTCTTTTTTCCCAGTTATGCGGTAACTTAAGTAATTTTTTTTCAGGTTTCGAGTCTTCAGTGAACGGTGAAAATTGTAATTGGTGTATCGTAAAACTTATCGTAAGGAATTGTTTAATCATCACTTAAGGTGGCTCTATATAGTATTTTACAAGGCTTTGGGTATTACATATGCATGAATAATTCAGTCTCCCTTGGCAAATGTTTATTTCACAACACTCGATAGAAGATCAGTAATGAAAGCCTACAGCCTTAGACTATATGTGGAAAACCCTTTCAGAACCTCAAAGCTGTTGCTATGGCAACTACTGCAAGGAATGCTTGGCTTGCTTTTTTGACCTAACTGACTTCTAGACGGTGTTTCTCGGTTTCTACGCGGTGAATTTTCTTTGTTTTTGGGGAAACAGAGTTAACATCCAAGGAGTTTCAACTGATAAAGCCACAAGAAAATCTGTACATAATTTTCGGAGTAATTCGCAATTTTCATTTTTGAC